AGAACTAATTTCTAGACAAAGCCTAGGTGGGAGCGAGCAAACCGCCTTACTGACCTGGGGAGTGCGAGCAGTGCTGGTTGCTGCATAGCTGGCCTAGGGACAGGCAAGGGAATTTCCAAAATTAAAGACAGGCCAAAATGTGACCAAGTAAGAGACTAATGATTCTCTGGGCCAGTCTTTTCATTCTGGAGGCGTTTGACTCACGATTTTTTACTTTTACAGGCTGATCTTGTTGACCACAACAAACAACATTTAATTGCCCTTCTTGCCCAACTTCCAAGGAGCCAAGCCCTTGGTCTTCAGCCTCGTCTGTAATTCTCAAGCCCTTGTAACACCTAGCTGTAATCCCTAGCAGTAAGACTGTCTCTAGCATAGGGAACTGATTTGTTGGTGAGGGGAGAGCAGAGGATGGCATCTACCTTGTAGTAATAGTGCACAGACTTGAAGACTTGAGCAAGCTTTTTGATTGTGTCCCCCATGGCATCCTGGCCTCTGAGCTGGGATGTTGCGGACTGGACTTTCAGCTGAGTGAAAAACTTGGCTGCTCATTGGGCTTAAGGAGCAGTCGTTAATGGTTCATACCCTACCTGAAGACCAGATACAAGTGGCGAAGCGCAGGGCTCTGTCCTGGGACCTGTCCTGTTCAATATTTTTGCCAGTGACCTGGAAGAGGAAATGAGTAGATAGATCTTCATCAGGTTTGTGGATGACACCAGACTGGGTCAGTACAGCCGATACACTGGACAGCAGGGCTGCCATCATGAAGCACCCGGAGAAGCCAGACCACGCACTGGAACAAACCTCATGAAATTCAGCAGGGACAAGCACAAAGCCCTGTCMCAGACAGGAGGGAGCCCTGGCCACGGTGCCGGCCGAGCCCTGCCTGGCTGGGCAGCAGCTCTGCTGGAAAGGTCCTGGATAGACATGTATAAATGGAGCAAGTTTAGATGGGGGCCATGGACGTGACTGGGGACCACAGCACTCATCCCAGGAGAAGAGACAAGGGAGTGGGGTTTTCTAAGCTGGGCAAGGGATGTCTGTGGGAGTATCCAGTGGCCAAGCCTCTGTACCTATAGGGAGCTCATGGAAAAGATGAAACCAAGATCTTTACTGAGGTAAACTGAAAGAAATGATAGGAATATAGAGATATATCCAACTGGATATAGGAAAAAAATAATTCCTATGAGGATAATCATGCACTGGAGCGGGTTTCTCAGAGAGACTGTGCAGTCTCCATCCTTCCAGGTTCTCAAGGCCCAAGAGGACACAGCCCAAGGCAACCTGGTGTGAATTCAGTGCTGACCCTGCTTGGGGCAGGAGGCTGGGCTGGAGACCTCCCCTTCCGACTTCTGTGATTCTCGTGCTCAGCCTAAAGCTTTATCACTGCAACTTTAACCTCTTCCACTTTCTCCTACTCTGAAGGAACACTGAAAATAGTTTATGCTCTTCCTCATTACCCTTCAGCCRTGTGAAGACAGTTCTGTCTCTCTTCAGTTTTCTCCGAACAGCTCCATTTCTTTCAGTATTTCTGCTTGGGTCATGCTTCCTCTCCACACCTTCATATTATGCTCCTCGGGCCATGATCCGCATGGGCTATATCTTTTTGGAAATGCAGCATTGCAGATTGAACACGATATCTCAGCTAACGTCTTACAGGCATTAAGCACTGTGTCCCCTACAAGCTATATTCCTGTTTACATAACCAGATACTATGTTTGCCTTTTTCACAAGAGCAGGGAATTGTTGACTTACATTGAACTTGCATTACACCATAATCATATGTTCCCCTCTACAGAATTGCCATCTAGATAGTCTAAATAGCCATCTAGATCGAGCAGCTGATCGTTCCTCCTTGACCATAAAATTTGGCATTTGACCTTATTGGCCAACATCCTATTTTACTTTTCCCTGTCATCCATCCTTCTAGTCTGTCACATATTTTGAATTATGATTTTGTCCTCCAAATTGCTTGCAGCCTCTCCCAGTCATTTAAAATCAGTCTGCAGTGGCTCCTCTGGGGCTGCTTTTTCCTCCCCTTGTGTAAATATGACCTGGTGCCATAGCCTTGTGCACACCCTTCCCAAGCAGCCCTTGGGTACCACAAAAGCACCCGAGGGCTTCACTAGTTGCTCGCAAAAAGCCTCCTCCACCTGATCTTGCTACGTTAGTGATCCTACCATTACCCCACTTACCTTCTCCTCTCTTCCCTAGGACCACTGATTGCAGATGATCAAGGGGGGGG